TAAATGAATAGGATTTGCTCATGTGTCCTATGTTTTAAGATACAGAAGTCAATATCTTTTAAAATTGCCTATTATTAGCGACAGCCTTCAATCATTAAGACTCTGGGGCCTATTGTCAAGATAAAATTGTTGACAATTTTTTAAATAATCCATCTAAACTGATTTGTCTTTCTTCCTATTCCCTGTCTTATTTGATCTCAGCCTAAACAATGAGATCAACTGGCTTCCAGTTTATGAGAGACCAGAGGCAACTGTAACAATGTAGTTAACTACCTATGATGGTCTACAGTTCCAAGACATTTGATTTTGCCATATTTGTTGTGGTCTGCACAATATCTGTTTTTGGAGTTATTAGCCATCCATTCAGTCCAATGTTCAGTGTAGGCCTTTCAAAAAATTCCAGTCTTTTTCCATGAAAAAGGTCTTAGTTTTTTTATGTTGCTATAACAAAATATCAGAAAGTTGGCTTAAGACAAACAGAAGTTTATGTCTTACAGTTGTAGAGGATGGAGAGTTCAAGATGTGGAAAGGGTGGTATCTGGCGAGGATCTGTTTTCTCATAAACAACACCTTCTTGTCACATACAGTGGACCCTCGAGTTACGGCTGGTCTGCCATACAAACAACTTAGGTTATGACCAGAATTTTAGTTTTAACTTATGACCAAAGTCTTGAGTTACAATCCAAATGCTGGCTGCTTGTGCTTCCAGATTGTCTCAAATACAGATTTAACTCTTAAAGAGTTCTGGAAGGAACATTACAACATCCTTTTTTGTATGGAGTTGAGAAATCCTGGCCCAATGTCTCTCTAAGGAGACTGAAATCTGCCTGATACAGGAGAGAAACTTTGAAGACTGTGTAGAGGAGCTTGAGGCTTCAATTGACCAACATGAGTTACAACCATTCTCACAAACAAGTTTGTAAGTCAAGCGTCCACTGTACTCTGATGGAATAACAGGAAAACAGCCTCCTTCAGACCTCTTCTATGAGGGCACTAATACCATTCACTAGAGCATGGTCTTCATGTCCCAGCCCCCACCCTAACCCCACCTGTTAGTACTATTATTTTGGGTTTTAAGCTTCAACATATTAATTTCAGGGAAACACAAACATTCAGACCATAATATTAAGGGTTAGGACTATTCACTGTGATTTTCCACTGTAAAATGAAATGATTGGCCCTAATTCAGAAACACTAAGTTCAGTAGTACTTATCAAAAATGCCTTTTATTCTACCTTAAATGAATTACAGTTGACACAGTATTAACAAGCTGTCTTTCTGTTTCTACCTTATCTCCTGTCATACAGATAATCATCTTTAAATACAAAGGTATTTGATCAATCAAATAGTTGATGTCAAGAGAGTTATCAGGTATACTGCTTTCTTAGACTATTATATAAAAATTCTCTAGATAAGCCAATGCTCCAGGGGAACTGTGACCTTTAGAATACTTCTGCATTTTATATTTGGATTAATATTGATGGCAGATTCATCAAAATGGCAGAATTTTTCTTTCTCTTCTTTTTTTTTTGAAAAACACAATGAATGACTTACTTAAACCTTGGAAAGACACAGCGTGGGTTATGTGGGGTCTATGTGGAAACATGATGAACATTTTATTTATAGACAGAAAAGAAAATCATAATTGAGTTCAGCTCTTATTTTAAAGAGTTGGGGGCTTAGACTCTGAAAGGTTTTTGGGGGGCAACCTATAAATGACACCCAAACATAGATGTGGTGAACTCTACTTTCCAGCAACAGCAGCAACAATAAATCCCATCCCATGCGCTCTTCTGCAATGTGACCCAGCCACTCCACACCAAGAGTGGAAGTCTAATTCTCCTCTATCTGAACATGAGCCGGCTTTAGTGATTCACTTATAACAAATAAAATGAAATGGAAATGATACTGTGTGCCCTCAGAGCTGAGGTCAGAAGAATCCCAACTTCTGCCTTAGTCTTTTGGAATGGACAATCCTTCTCATAAGCTAGAGATGTTAGAGAATTGAATGGGAGAGTATAAATAAAATGCTAGTGTCTGACTAGCTATGACCAACATTTATTACTTGTGTGATCCAGAAGAGTGAGAAGAGCACATAATAGAAATTCTCACAGAAAATTGTACCTGATTCCTGGGCACTGTATCCCTGCAATTTTGGCATTCCTGAAAGGTGGAGGAGAAAATACTGAAGATGAAGCTTCTGCCTTCCTAGCAAATGAGGCTGGGGAGGGGGGTCTCACAACAGAAATTAAGTTAAATTCCCCAAAAGTAAAGTTACAGTTCTGGTGCACTTAATCCTATTGTCAGATGATTTAGTCCACTGTACTTTCTTCTGAACCTCTGCTTTGTAGAAAAAAATGATGATTATTTTAACTGATATTTCAATTAGAGAGTATTTCAGATGTCACAAGTAAGATATCTGACCATTACAAAACAGTAGTTCTTAACTTTGGATGACTTCACTCCCCAATTCTACCCCAGCAGAGATTAGCCAAAAACACTCTGGTGGTCTCACAGGGCAGAGGTGTGGGTACTACTAGAATCTAGTGGGTAGAGTTCAAGGATGCCGCAAAACATTCTACAGATTAAAGGGAATGCCCTTGACAAAGAATTATGCAGCCCCAAATGTCAACAGTGCCAAGGCTGAGAAATATCATTTTAACCCCAGTGATACAACAGCTTTTCCTGAACATGAGTTGGTACAGGTGAGTATCTTTTATTAGACATATTACAACCAGAAGTATTTCAGCTTTTGGAAAATTTGTATATGTCTAATGAGCTATCTTGGGGGTGGAATCCAAGTCTAAATCTGAAATGTGTTTATATTTCATATACACCTTATATGCATAGCCTGAAGATAATTTATACAGTTTGGTTTTTATCTGTACTGGAGATTGAACCCAAGGTCTTCACACTGAACTACATCTCTAGCCTGTTTTATTTTTTGTTTGAGACAAGGTCTCACTAAGTTGTCTAGGCTGGCTATGAACTTGAAGTTCTCCTGTCTCAGTCTCTTGAGTGGCTTGGATTAAAGGTAGGGACCACTGTGTCTTGCTTATGTAGTATTTTTAATAATTTTGTGCATCAAAGTTCTGTAACAATACTTTTGACTGTCTCAGAGAAATACAAAAAGGAAGTTGATGTGGACATACTATTTGTGGGTTCCATAAATTCCAATAGAAACAGAAGTAATAGAGAGAGGGAAATATAACTGTTATTGGTTGTATCTAGATGTCTGCCTAAAGCCTCGTGTGCTCATAAGTGAGGCTTTTCCGAGCTGGCTGGATCAAGGGTGTTTGAGTACGGGTTAAGGATGTGTGATGAGTAAATTGGTTTAGCATAGTTCTGGGTGTGGCTAATGAAAGCCCCACCCTGGGTGTGGGTGGCATCAATCAATAGGCTTGTAGACTGGAAGAATATAAAGGGACAGAAAGAAGGGAGGCTTCTGCTTTGCTGCCTTCTGTCTGCTCTGCCATGGACTGTTTTTCCTCTGTGATGCCTCTCTCCCATGCCATCTTGCCTTGGAGCCAGCCAACTGTGAACTGAAACCTTTACAAACAGTGAGCCAAAATAAATTTTTCCTCCTTTAACTTGTGAGTGTCAGGTATTTTGTCTCAGCAATGAAAAAAAGTAACTAAAACAATAACCAAAGCATATGGAAAGGTGAACATCTGAGGGCTTTATCCGTATAATTACTCCTATGTTCATATCCCATTTCTCCTGGGGTCACACAGTCCCTACTGTCAAGTCTATGTTTCCAGGAAGGTTGATCTCACCCTCTACCATAAGGAAAGAGGGGGGTACATGACCATTCCAATTCTCTATTGGTAGAAAACAATCTACTCCACAACTTAGCATTGTTAAGCAATAACCATGTTATTGCTCACAGTTCTGTGGGTCAGGGGTTTGAACAGGGCTCAGAGGGGTTATATCATCTCTACTCCACTCAGCAATGGCTAGACTAACTCATTCAGCTGCCTGCTGGCATCTGGGTTCAACAGGAAATTTGAAAACATTTCTTCACATGTCTGGAGCCTGCTGCAGGCTGTCCCCACTGGGACAGTTCCCATAGGGAACTTCTGCTGTCCTCTTTGAGACTTTTATTTTTGCATTGTTTCTTATCTTCTAGGCCAGGGGTGGTGAACCTATGGCATGTGTGCCAAAGCGGGCTGTGTGTATCACTGAAAGCTCTAAAACGGTGGTTAACATCACTGTTCTAGGCCTTCTTTCTACAAGTGGCCTGTTTTCTCATGAAAAGCCTAAATTTCAGTATATGGAGGTTCAAGGCAGAAAAGGAATGGAAGTAGAAGCTTTCAAAACACTTGAGATGTGGGTTCAGAATGGCCACAGTGTTACCTTGGCACTTTCTACTGATCCAAGTTAGTCAAAAAACCAGCTTTATTTCACAGGCAAGGAAAATAGACTCTACTTCTTAAGGGGAAAAGAGACAAAATCACAGTGAAAAAGGGCAGGTGGAATTTGAAGCCACTTTTGGGAAAAATTTCACAAAATGATCTAAACTACATAACAGTCAGAGAAAAGTGTTCTGTTTCTGCTTGCATTGGTATTGGGATAGGAAAAGTCTATGGTTCTGGCTGCCATTTTCTCACATGAGTAGAGAACCTTTCTGAGAATAGAGCCAATCCAGAATTGAGAGAGGGAGAAAGGCAGATTAATTCTATAATATCTTATAAGCACCTGCACTATACCTGAAGCTGATTCTAGCCTGAACTTTAGGGTTTTGTGAGTTAAAACATTTCCTGTTATGTTTAAGCCATATTTAGTTGTTTTCCTGTCACATTTTTAGTTGTGTTCCTGTTGATGTAGAGAGAAGGAGCTAGTCCAGTTGCCCCCACCTAACCTTGGAGCCTAGTTGAAAGAAAAAGTTATTTGGTCAGCATTTGGACCCTCTTTACTCCAACCCTTACTTCTCTTTCTAATCCCTTTAGCAAGGCAATCTTCAGGCTAGCTTTACCTAGAGCTGGATAGTTCTTTTTTACCTAGAGTGGATGACTCTGATGTTGTCAAAGAGATGAGGGCAAAAGTGGTTCAGGATCCAAGTCAGAGGTCAGGGCCTAGAAAACAGTACCAAACACGGTTTTTCATGCCAGAACAATGATAGAAACAGGAAAATTAATCACAAAGTTACAAATAAGATGCTTAATAGTCAGGAAAGAATAGATCAAGATAATTGTTAAGCATAGATTCAGTGAAACCAAGTGTGTTTCTGGAGACCTCTGCAATGGCAGCATATATGGCTGAGGCAGTAGCACCAAAAATTCACCTAACACCAAATGATCTTTTCAGGGAGCCAAAAGTGGTTCCAAGAGTTATCTTCCTAAATGAATTTCTGATTCCTTCTGAGATATGTAGTTCTGAGGTTCTTAAGCAAAACTAAACTCGAATCTTCTTGCTAAAGTTTCTCCTAAACCCTGAGTTAACTCCAGACCTGATATGACCACTTGTCATTTCTTCAAGACAGTGTTGTCTACAACAATCAACAGGTCTCTGTTGATTCAAATGGGCTAAGGGCTTCAGTAGAACCAATCAGGTCTGCAATACTACAGTGAGTCTGTGCTACATGAAACAATTCCCTGAAGTTCCTTGCATACCCATCTACCCTTTCTCCATGTACAGTACATCAATTATTTGATGTGTCTGCTCTAGCCAACTATTAAAATGAGACAGATATTGGAGAGATTCTTAAAAACTAGAAGCTGTTATTATCTAACAGTTCTAACTAGAGTGTGAGAAACTATGCCAAGCACCTCACGATCAGTCTCTCATTTGGCATTGTGACCATTTTTCAGATGTTTCCACCAAATTGTTTATGTACAGTAAGGTCAAATAACAATCAATATACAGTGGTACCTCAGTTCATGAACTTGATTTATTTCAGAACTATGGGGAAGATGACCATGGTTGTGTTCATCAACCAATGCAGAGTTTGTGAACAGAAGCAAAATTCTGCATACAAACTGAATTGCTTCTGTTTGCAAACTGAATTGTTCACCAACAGAAGTGTATGTGAACTGAGGCATTACCGTAATCTGTTTTTACGAGCACAGGCTTTGGATATCAATCACTTTATTTACTTTTCCCCTATAAATAAAAGGTTTCATTTTTCCTGCCACCTAAAGAAAAAGAAATGTAAATGATCTCAAACAACTTAATAGTTAGATGCTCACTCATTAGAAAGTCAAAATATGCCAACTTGTAGAAGGAATGATATAGGATATTTTCCTTTTCAGGTCTTTCACATGTATAAGACAGTTAAAATTGAAATCAGTATATCATTCAAATGTCTAATATCTAGAAGTGAGCAGTTAACAGTCCTGTGGAATACCAAGCCCTTTAGTGTACTTTCTGAATCTGGCTGATTATCTGAATTCATGTGGAGCTTGTTAAAAGCATGCATTCTTTTGCCCTACTCAAGATCTTCTGAATTGAAACATCTGGGTATGGGACCAAAAAAATAGCTTTTTAAACACTTCCCAGGTAATTCTGCTAGTCAGATAGATTTCTGAGCCACTTTCTGTTTCATAAGAAACAAACTGCTTTAAAAATAAAAGATTTCCTGCATATTGGTAATACTTTACAATGTGAAATCAGCTTGTAATATGTACCAAGATACTTCTAAAGTATCTTCAAATTCCTGATCAGTGTTTATCTTGGGCCAATGTAATCCAGAAACATGTAGACATTTACTCTGTCCGTGTCTAAAATGAAATGAAGCTTAATTATTGTTTTCACTACTGACATTATATTTGTATGTTAAAGTGGAATTATTTGACTAATTTTGATTGTGCAATTTCCAAGCCAGCTTGAGTGATATCAATCATGCTTGCCTGATTAACACAAAAATCTCCTCCACGTCCTTTACTTAGAACAAATTAACTTTTTTCTCTCTAAAATGATGCCTCTTTCTTTCTAGTGATTTGGTGAAGATTCAGAGCTCTGACCAACTCCATACCTTAAGAATGATGCTCTTAATTAGAATTCATACTTTGCCTTAGATACACTGGATTTTCTAAGCATGAGACTGATCTATTTGGGGAATAAAAGCCACAAAGGGTGTGTCTATTTTATGATATTATTTCTAGCTTTGGAGTAGTAGCTCCCGGAATAGGCATGAGAGCTTGCTAAGGAAGTGGATGGATGGATGGGTAGATGGACAGATGACCGATGACCTGGATTATCGTTTTCAATTGCATTTTCGGCAGGCTACTGAGATTTTTTTGGTCAATATAAGGCTAAATAATAAAGTTATGTAGCTTATTTGAGCCTTAGTTTCTCCATGTATAAAGTGGAAAAAGAGGCAGAACAAGATAATCACTCAGATCCTATCCAGTAATAATTAAATATAGCCACAACTGGATGGAGAAATCCTCTGATCTTTGGCGTTGGCATTTAAAAATGATAAACTTGGGGCCGGGATTTAGCTCAGTGGTTCCGCTGCTTACCTTACAAGTACAAGGTCCTGAGTTTGATGCCTGGTACCAAAAAAAAAAAAGATAAATTTGCATTAATAAACACACACACACACATACACTACTCCCTTACCTCTTTTTAGAGGTTTTATTCAAATATCACCTTTTCGGCAAGGTCTTCCATGGCCACTCTATAACTGCAACCTCTTTCCAACTTTTTCCTTACCTGCCTTACTTTTCTCCATAACATTACTGCCATCTGGTAAATCTATGTAATTTGCTTTCTTATTCTCTTTTTGGCTTGTTTCCCCTCACTAGAATGAATGTAAGTCTAATGAAACCAGGGATTTCTATCCGCTTTATTAATTCCTATATTCCTAAAACCTTGTCAGCCACTTTATCAGCATTCAACACATACTTGTTGAATGAAGGAATCAATAAATAATAATGGAACAGATATAGGTTAACTTGATTCAATTTAAGGAACATGAACAGAGTCATTACTATAAATAGGAAAATGCATGTTGGGCATTGGGGGAGGCAAGAAGAGAGAGAATGCATAGCCTTGTTCTTGCTGGTCACACTGAGACAAGGATAAGGCTGGAGACAGATAAGACAGATATGGTCAGAAAGATAATAATACAAGTGAGAACTGCATATATATCAAGGAAAAATGTGGGCAATATTATATGTGATTTTAAAGGAAGAAATGATTACTTCTATCTAGAGAAGAATGGAAGAGGATTCACAGAAGAGTGTCATGGAAATTGGTCCTGGAAGAACTGTCTTTAGGGAAATCACAGCATCTCCCACAGTATCACTTTAATCTTCTAGGATATCACAAAACTCCCTCACTGAAATCTGTGAGGGATAAAGATGGAATACATGCAAAAGTACCCACTTTTGTGGAACCAGATAGACAATTCTCTTTTAGCTCAGTGTGAATCCGTACAATAATCTGCTGCTTCCAATACAGTGGTATCAGGTATAGTGGTAGGCAAAGATTTAAACTGGCAGAAATATTATGTTATATAACTAAAATCTGAAAGAAAAGTAAAAAATAATATATTCATACCTACACATTAGGCTCGTTGTACATTACAATTATAGAGAGTTTTTTTTATCTTGTGCAGACAAAGTTATGGAATTGACTGCCATAGCAATTCTTCTAAGTTTAATTTAATTCATTTAAAAAATTGTTTTTATTTGTGCTAGTTTACACAGTGCAGAGAAAGTAATTTTTAATTTAAGTTTGGTAAAGACACGAAATCACTACAGAACAGTGTTTAAGGTACAAAACCTAGGGGCCAGGGATTTAGCTCAATGGTTTCGCCACCTGCTGCGCAAGCGCAAGGACCTAAGTTCGATCTCCGGTTTAAAAAAAAAAAAAAAGATACAAAATCTGATGGAGTAAGGATATAAAAGTAATCAAATGTGGGGCTGGGGATTTAGCTCAGTGGTTCCACCGCTTGCCTTGCAAGCACAAGGACCTGAGTTCGATCCCTAGTACCCCCCCCCGCCCCCCAAAAAAGTAATCAAATGTGTTTTTTTAAGGTTTTTACCTCTCCTGTTCTGGGCCTCCATGTAAAAAATACTGAGAACCTATATTACAAGAGAAAAAGGATAAGTTACAGTAAGAAAACCTTTACCTAAACTAAGGTTATAATGAGCAATCAGCCAAGAGGTCACGACCATACATTTTGGACTGGCAGAAGGTAAGGGGGCTACTTATGAGACAGCCTGGCTTTTATAAAATAAGAAACAGCTTTGACGTCAGTATTGTCCCTGAACTGAACTGCTTAAAGGTTCAACTTGGGTTCAGTTAAATTATCCCTTCCTTCCTGCTGTCTCCCTTCCACTGCTTCCCCTAACCCTGACACCACAGTCATTCCACTCTGACCTGTTCCAGACAGAACAAGGCAAAAGAGCACATTCCCCATCCCCCTTTCTAAGTTTCTTAGAAGGAAGCTTATCTCAAATTGCAACTCCGAAAGCTGGAAAGAGGAGCTGGTGGAAGAAAGGCCAGTTTTGCTGGGGCTGGGTTCCCTTTGAGACTCCAGTCTTGTAATGCCTAACAGCTCCAGGGTGCTGCCAGCAGTGAAGCAAGGGAGACTGCGAAGAAGGACTTCTTCCTGACAGTTAAGAAATCTCTTATTTATAAGGCAGTGATGGAGAACCTTTCAGAACTTTCAGTGATACAAACAGCCTGCTGCAGCACACATGCCATAGGTTCACCACCACTGTACTAAGGGAACAGCCTAAAACTAGAGATCTTAACATAGTTCTCCAAAGTTACAGCTCTTACTAGACCCACAGGATTTGAATGTTTATACCCATTTTATTTGTGAGAAGAACTGCAGGATAACAAGAAAAATTTAAAGCATGATTATTTTAAATGAAATTGAAGATGTGGGTAATTACTGAAATATTTTCAATATGAGAAGATAACATATATAATCACTTGTAAAGGGGAAAACTGCTCTACTAAGTCAGTCATAACACTATGGCCCCAAGTAGGTGTGGATCTTCTGTCAGTCTTTGTATCCCTCACCCCATAGCCCATGTTCTCTCTCCTCAGAATTATAGAATTTTGGACATACTTTATAGTCAGCCAAGTATGTCCAGAGATAAGTGGTTTGCTTAAGAATATCAACTAACTGAGGCAAAGCTTCAATCTGGTCTTCTCATCTCTAGACCAAGGGCTTCTTTTTTTTCTTCTTCTTAAATTCTTTTATTGGTACATTTCAGGTATACAATAGATTAACATTTATTACTGGGTACTTGTACCTGTATATAATGTATCTTGGTTCTTATTTTTCCCCGTTACCTGTCCTCCCTTCACCCGCTCCATACTTCCCTATTTACAAAGACTTTGTTTCCATTTTTTCCTTTTCTCATAATTTTTCCTTTCCCTTCTTTCCTTTCCCCTTCCCCTCCCACTTCTCCTACCCTTTTGGACCTCTTCTTCCTATTTCAAATTATCAATTATTCATTTTAATCATTTTAATCTAGACCAAAGACTTCTTAACAGATCATATTACAGCTTTGGAAAACAGATGTCATTTGATTGCTTTTAATCCTGAAATAAATTTAGAGTTTCTAGAAATATCTGATTTTGGAATATTAAAACAAATAAATAGGTCATTAGTTGCTACAAAAATTTTCTACTATAATATTTGTTAATAAAATTTTCACATAATGGAGACTGGAAATGATAAATAAGAACTTGGGAGTGTACAAAAGAGAAAAGTCATTATGCATGACCAAAATATTTTCCATCAGTTCCATTGGTAGTGTCCACATGGAATGTGTTGAGGGTCAGGCTGGTAATAAATGTGTGAATCTGACACAGTTAGAAAGATATGGAAGGCTTCTTCCTTAGATGGTGGTCTGACTTGGAGAGAACATTTTTTTTTCTGCTGACAAGGTTTAGAAAACTGAAAAACTGTAGTTATAATGATGATCATCATTTTGCGTTTCAAGGTGCTGGCGAAGTACCAAGGCAGCCATGACCCAGAGGTAAGCCCAAAACTCCACATCAATTTCCCCACTAACATTTCCAGAGACTTAAGCAGGACTCTTGGGAAAGCTGAAAAGGTGAGAAGATGACTTCTTTCTTAGAGGGAGAAGCTGGGCAAGAGCTTTCACCATCCTCAGGAGACTGAACCTAAGGTTCAGAGTTACAGTGACAGCTGGGGCTTGAGTAACCAGCCTTCTAAAGGAATTTAAGGTAAGTCAAGTCAAAGTCATGGCAATCTGTGGGAGTGAGGGTTCCCAAGGCACAAGATGAGTTTCTGCCCCTTATAAAATTATAAGGAGTGAAACTTTGCTGCAAATTGCTAAAATGTGCAACCCTAATCCAAAGACATTCAAACTCACACTTCCTAACAGCTCTGTGTTGCCCAAGCAAAATACTTTTATGAGTTATATTTCAATCCTTGGGCCAAGACATCTATACATAAATTACCTATTACATGAGCTACAAATACATACACAATAAGTTTAATATTTAATTAACATTAGAATTCAGAGTATTTCATATGACAAAATTTCTGTGCCTTACACATGTTTTCTCACTTTAATAACCTGCAACAGTCTTGTGAGTTAAGCATAGGAAGGTCAGGATAGTATCAATACTCAAATTGCATAATTTGAGCACTTTCCTCCTGTGGGTGTGTGTAGGGCAAAGAATGAAACTCTGAACATTTGACCCCAAGGCCAGACCTCTCTCCACCCCCAACACACAACACAGATTGCAGAGCACCAAGGAGCTTGTATTAGAATTAGAAATGAAGATAAAGCAACACTGAGCTCTAAAGCAAAGAGAAAATTTGACTTATGTGACTATTTATTGTGTAGTGGAAACTTGAGGCTTATTAAACCAGTACTCACGTGAACTTTTAAACATTTTATTTATTTTCCTGGGGGTTTTTTTGTTGTTGTTGTTCTATATAAATGCATGCACTGTTTTCAGAAAAACATCAATGTGGTTTTAGTTGCTAGCATTGAGATCCACATTCAGAATAGCATCCTTTATTAATTAGGTGCACCTCAGTGACATCCACTGTCTTGGGTGAGATCAAAGGGCAAGCACTGTAATTCTATTTGCCTTCTTATTTGTACAACTCACAAGATTCAGGCTCCATGCCCTTTTGCTTTACCATAAATTGCTTAAGTATCATTGCCTTTGTGTTGTATCTTTTGGTTTGGGAAGATGCTATATAAATTAAATTCAAGGTTGAAAGTAACAGGTCCTTGTAGAATTCTTTGCAATATTCATACTCATTCACAAGGCACTGAAACATAAAGGCTACAAAAATACTCTGCATTATGACAATATTACATTGGAAGACATTTAATTACTGATTTTTCCCTTTCATTAGGAGTCTATGACATAAAATTTTTTGTTTTGTTGAAACAGTTTGCATTGGTCAGTGAATTTATGAATCAAATACTATATTTATAAATCAAATATGCCAAAACTCAAAATAGGACTCTAAAGCTATGTTTGTACCTGGAGAAAGAGTGAATTGTATGTCCATGTGTAAAACTTATTATTTTTT